CAAAATTTGATTAGTAAAGATCAATTTTAGTGGATTTATCAAAAATAAAACATCTACTGTTATGCAATAGCAGATAAAATGATGCACCTTAGCAACGGCCAATTCGAAATCCTCTTGGGTTACATGAACGCGCCGCTCGCGTAAGGCATACATTCCGGCTTCCGTACAGACGCCTTTTACCTCAGCTCCGCTGGCCCCAGGCATTAATTCAGCAATTTTGCGTAAATCGATCCCTCTAGTCAAATTCATTTTGCGAGAATGTATCTTCAGAATATCAAGACGGGCTTCTTCATTAGGAGCAGGGAATTCAATTTTACGATCAATCCTTCCAGGACGAAGTAAAGCAGAATCAAGTATATCGATTCTGTTAGTGGCCATAATAACCTGTATTTAAAACTAATCAAAAGTTTGCTAACCTTAATGTTTTGTTTGGGTTCAAAACCGTCTAACTGATTAAGAAGCTCCAGCATTGTTCGCTGCACTTCACTATCACCCCCTGAGCCACTTTCAAGACGGGTTGAACCTATCGAGTCTACCTCATCCATAAATATAATGGAAGGAGCGTGCTCTCGCGCCATGACGAATAGCTCTCTTACCATCCGAGCACCTTCACCTATAAATTTCTGAACTAATTCTGAGCCACTGGTCGAAATACTTATTTAAAATAAATATTACCTGACCCGAATAAATGTGCATTCGGTGTGATGTGCTACTGCACGTGCCAGAAGAGTCTTCCCAGTGCCTGGTGGACCATATAGAAGAACTCCCTTCGGTTGAGCTATCCCGAGTGACTCAAACAATTCGGGATGCTTGACGGGCAGTTCAATGACCTCTTTGATTTCCTTAATTTGCTTATCCAAACCTCCTATCATCTCATAAGTAGAATCAGGAACCTTCTCCACCATCATTAGTGAGACAAGAGGATCCACTTTACTCGGGAGTATTTTATGCAAAGTGTAGCTGTCGTTCCGAAGAGCAACACGGCAGTTGGGAGTGATTGTAGCCATATCAATGTTTTTGTCGATGTCAACCACGAATTTGCCCTCAGGTTGAACTTTGACTAAGACCTTTTTTTTATCCATAGGCTTGATAACCTCACCGACATATGAACCCTGTTCTTGTAGGAGCTGAAGTTCCTCACGCAGCATTCGGACTAGAACGCATATAAATTAGAGTATTATACCTTTGGCATTCAGTTCGTTGCGCTGGGCCTCCAATCGACGAAGATTGCGTATTTTTTCCATAACAATTAACTGAAGTTCATCAATTTTACTAGAATAATAATTTTTGAGCCCATCTGTGCATTCGTTTTCGGCTTCCTTTAGACCTTTTCCTAGATTTTTTTTCAGTTTCCGAGAAGGGTCGGAAGTTTTAAATTTCGGGGAGGTATGAGGTAATGTTTCAACCTCCTGTCGAAAAAATGTAATTTAAAAAATTAGCACACAAGGCGGGAATTAAATAGGAAACTGTAGTAGAAAATGAAAACAGGGGAAATAAGAAGGGAGGGCAGAAACGTACCATGGCAGCCATTTTAGAAACAACTAAAGAAGTGAGCGCGTCTAAGAGACAATTCAAACACTAACACGTATTTCATAACTCTAATAAAATCTCACACTGGATCATATTGCTAAGTTAAAAGTTCAATTACCATAAGATTAAAACTATAACAGCGCTTATTTCGAAAAACCAAGGCTTATATTTCCATCTTCGTGACCTCTAGATAATGTGGCACTCTGTTTAAATTTCATAAATATTAGCGAGATTATATAAAGATTTACTTTGATTCAAAAAATTAAAATCTTAATTACCGATCATTAACTTACTATGGTCCGCCTAATTGCTGCTTCATACATGAGTCTTTTAACAACTTATTGCATACAGAAATATATACCTGCAGTGCAAAAATTTATTTAGAAGGCATATAATGAGAAATATTTTATGGGCTAGATTAGGAATTGAATAAGCATGAATAGTTAATCACATATTATACTATTCCTTTCATCTGAAGTTACACATCGAAGGGCTTGATAAATTTTCCATATAGATAACCCAAGGAACAATAAACATGTGGATTTATGCCAGTATATTCTTATCATAATGCAAAGTCAACTTTCATACAACATGCTCGAAGATATTTATTTGACTACAAGCAAACGTTCAATACTGATTCGTCGACGTCGCACAACGATGTGCTGAGGAATCATTCTCATAAAGCTGATTCCATAATTCCAAGACATTAATACTTTGGCTTTTGGTGAGCCCGAATCACGGATGTATCCACTTTATTTTGTAAACTAAATTGGAGTTACAATAACATAATTCGTGTCGACTATATATGCTTATTTTTTATAAAATGGCGGACCAAGTTTTAGTGGCTAAGGCCATGTATGGAGAGTTCATGGCTAAGAATGCTCAAATAACATTTGATTTATAGGTATTTGGAATATTTTTACAGCCTCAGCCCTTAATTGTTTGATATTTGCCCGGTACAACGGCTATTTAAAGTTTAATTAATAAGTTAATTAAATAATAGATAATACATGCTAAGTTAAGCTAAAACTAGGGGGAGGACAATCTTTTGGAAGAATGGTAAACCAAGAAAGAATAAAAACGTTGCCGTTAGAAGGAAGACCTCGCCTAAACTTTGATGGGAAAATAGATAAATAGATAACAATCATGGATTTTTTATTATTAGAATCGACGTTGCCAGCTGGTGATCCAGCTATGAAGAATAAAGGGACTGAGATAAATTAATCCCGATAGAATGAAATCTTAAAAAAGCAGAATAAAGGCTAATATTTATTGAGAAGAAGGGGATGAAGGTTTGATTAGCAAATCATAATTGAGTCAGCTTTTCCTAGATTCGATAAATACAAGCCGAAGTTCTATGTGGTGGTCCTGATGCACATGCCTTCATTTAAGTTAAGCCCTGATTTAAGAAGGACTGAATGACAATCTGTGCAGCAAAAAGACGCATCCGGAATAGAGGGAATCATTTAGTTGCGAAATAATGCATAATTTTCCGCTGCTTTGCATTTTTCAACTTTAAGTGAGCGTGATCCTCCTGATCCCTATAACCCTTGCCGACATTTGTATGATACTGAAGAAAGGGGCATGGAAACTGGCGAGCTGCCAAATTAGATATGAGACAGATTTTAAAAATTGCTGAATAATTTATCTGCTGATAGGAATTGCGTGAGGTTAAAGATTAATTGGAGATCCATTTTTCGAGTAGGAGACCAGATTGATGAAAGTGACAATGTTCAAATTAACCAAACCAATGAAAGGAAATTTTTAAAACCTTTAGGAAAAACGAGGAGGACATCAGGCTAATCAGGTCTTAGTCATAAAAAGTAACGGTGAGCAAGGAAAACAAAATACTATTGAATTGCTGGAATAATAGGTTCACTTAAAAACTTGTTTGCACGTGAGGTTCAAGTTATGTGGAACCTTGACGATTTGCGTATGGCTATATGGATGGCACTTAGCTATGTCGATGCAGACTGGCTGCCATGTAAAATTTTTGGAACACATCTTATGTTCGAAGAGTTTTTGTAAAAAAGAGCAACCCACGGAATCTAAAAATAGTTAAAAAGGGCATTGGTACACAGGAATCTAAATCATCTGTATATATTTTCGTTCAAAATGATATAAGTAATATTTTGG